GGGACCCCCGCCCAGCCCCCATACCTGCCCCGTGACGGGCTCCAGCTGCTGCAGCGTGGCCAGCACGAACACGGCCGTCTTGCCCATGCCAGACTTGGCCTGGCACAGCACGTCCATGCCCAGGATGGCCTGGGGGATGCACTCGTGCTGGACTGCGGGGAAAGCAGGGGGTCACGGGCTGGCACGGGCACCGAGACCCCCGGAGACCCCCGGCAGGGGCACCGAGACCCGCGGAGACCCCCGGCAGGGGCACCGAGACCCCCAGAGACCCCCGGCAGGGGCACCGAGACCCCCAGAGACCCCCAGGAGGGGCACTGAGACCCCCGGAGACCCCCGGCAGGGGCACCGAGACCCGCGGAGACCCCCGGCAGGGGCACCGAGACCCCCAGAGACCCCCAGGAGGGGCACTGAGACCCCCAGAGACCCCCGGCAGGGGTACTGAGACACCCCCAAGAGGGATCCTGAGACCCCCGGGAAGGGCACCGAGACCCCCAGCAGGGGCACTGAGACCCCCAGAGACCCCCGGGAGGGGCACCAAGACCCCCAGAGACCCCCAAGAGGAGCACAGAGACCCCGGGAGGGGCACCGAGACCCCCAGAGACCCCCGGGAGGTGCACTCAGACCCCCAGAGAACTCCGGGAGGGGCATTGAGACCCCCGGAGCCCCCCGGGAGGGGCACTGAGACCCCCAGAGATCCCTGGGAGGGGCACTGAGGCCCCCAGAGACCCCTGAGAGGTGTACTGAGATCCCTGGGAAGGGCACCGAGACCTCCAGAGACCCCCGGGAGGGGCACAGAGACCCCCCCAGAGACCCCCGGGAGGGGCACTCAGACCCCCAGAGAACTCCGGGAGGGGCATTGAGACCCCCGGAGCCCCCCGGGAGGGGCACTGAGACCCCCAGAGATCCCTGGGAGGGGCACTGAGGCCCCCAGAGACCCCTGAGAGGTGTACTGAGATCCCTGGGAAGGGCACCGAGACCCCCAGAGACCCCCGGGAGGGGCACTGAGACCCCCAGAGATCCCTGGGAGGGGCACTGAGACCCCCAGAGACCCCTGAGAGGTGTACTGAGATCCCTGGGAAGGGCACCGAGACCTCCAGAGACCCCCGGGAGGGGCACAGAGACCCCCCCAGAGACCCCCGGGAGGGGCACCGAGACCCCCGGAAGGCGCACTGAGGGCCC